GATAAGAGTGATGAGGTCGAGGACCCAGATAGTGTCAACCTTCCCTCCCTGGTCATTTCACAGAGTGGGCTCTCTTTTCTACGAACCCTCCTTTCTCTTCTGAGAATGGTAAAACAAGTGTTCATGTGGGGTCCTGGGCACTTTGGAGTGAAAGGCTCTGGGTTTAAATTCCATCCAGTTCAGCCACACTGAGCCTCAGTTTCCTTCTCTATACAAGTGAGACTAAGGGCTTCCCTGGTGGCGCAGTGGTTGAGAGTCCGCCTGCCGATGCAGGGGACACGGGTTCGTGGCGCGGTCGGGGAAGATCCCACATGCTGCGGAGCGGCTGGGCCCCTGAGCCATGGCCGCTGAGCCTGCGCGTCCGGAGCCTGCGCTCTGCAACGGGAGAGGCCACAACAGTGACCGGCCCGCGTACCGCAAAAAAAAAAAAAAAAAAAAAAAAAAAAAAGTGAGGGTAAGAAGTGCCCGAGTTGAACCACTGTGGGGATGTTTAACTGGAGCCTCAGAATGGGCAGGGGAGAGGACACAGATTATCCTAAAAAAGCGAGGATCCTAGGAGCTTTAGTTACCCTGTGCAATTTTCTGTACTGCATACGTGAAGGAAGAAAAGTCAGATTCTGCAAACCAGACCTGAACCATATCTTTCCTAATATCTTTCTCTTATTGCAGGTACTTGAGAATGGGAAGGGGAGGAGAAAGGTATTGCCTATACCGTGTGACCCTTCCAGTATCTGGCTCGTTGGCTTCGCATAGCTTGGTTATCAGTGTAATGACAGGGCCTGCGGGGCAAACAGCAGCCTGGCGTTTCAGAAAGAGAAGCTCAGATGGCACACTGGCAGCCTCCCAGCCTTGCAGAGCCAGCTCCCTCAACATGAGACCCAAAGAGCAAGGGATAGATTTCATGAGAGCTAACACCCAACCTTTTGCCTAGTGCAAGGTCCACATGACAAACCTCAGCTTGGCAATTTGTGAAGAAAACGTACCTAAAAGCACTCTGAAAGACCTGCTTAACTGTCTGCACCAGAGGGAAATTTCATGATCTAAAGGTCGCTCCCCTTCATTTGCTCCTGCAAAGCTCGGTGTGAAGACAGCTTTCCAGGTGAGAACTCATGCCAAAAAAAAAAAAAAAGATAATCATTGCTTTATGACATCCTCTCCACTTACATGAGACAAATCAAAATGCTCGTATTTTGTTCTGCTCAGAATACGATGACAAATATACCTAAGGAAAAGGAATAACGTCAACTTAAGAAACGTGTATCTGGCACCTATTCTGTGAAAGGCAACTTGTTAGGTACTACGAAAAGTTCTTGCAGTTTTGGGAACTGAACTAATAAAGGAATGAGGAAAGATCTGGGCATTTTCTGGCAGTGGGGGTGCTGAATGGAGCACTTAATGCGTGAAAACACTCTAAACAGCACCCTGCTGTATCCTTCTGGTTATATTTTAAAGTAGGCAGTTTTTTGTCTCCATGAATGATAAGAAGGTTGCTGTACGTAAAGTCAGAGAGGAAATGAGTAGCTGAGTAAGGACAAGAATGCAGACCAGACCTATTGTTTATTTAAATCGTATAATAAACAAACTTACTTTAAAGCTTTCACCTATATTGCTCCTACCACAATCTATCTTTTTATTTGTGTGTCCTCTTATAAATTTATGCTTATGTATGTGGTATGTGAACTGTTTTAGGCCCTACATTTTCTCATTTTATTTCAACCCTTTCCCATGTGTCCATATGTATAGGGATTATGCTAATATCATGGAGTTGCACCATAGTTTATATTTCCTTTCCTTATTGTTGAACACTGGGATTTTAAAAATTAATTAATTAATTAATTAATTATTTTTGGCTGTGTGGGTCTTCGTTTCTGTGCGAGGGCTTTCTCTAGTTGCAGCGAGCGGGGGCCACTCTTCATCGCGGTGCGCGGGCCTCTCACTATTGCGGCCTCTCTTGTTGCGGAGCACAGGCTCCAGACGCGCAGGCTCAGTAGTTGTGGCTCACGGGCCTACTTGCTCCGTGGCATGTGGGATCTTCCCAGACCAGGGCTCGAACCCGTGTCCCCTGCATTGGCAGGCAGATTCTCAACCACTGCACCACCAGGGAAGCCCTGAACACTGGGATTTTGTTGAGTCCTTGCTTAACTTTGTGTAGCTTTATCGGATTCTGCTGAGAGCTTTTTTCTTCTTTTGAATTGTTTTCTTTGGATTAATTTCTTCTTCTGGGAATAACTAGGTCCAAAGTTCTGAATTTCACTCCCAAGGACATTGCCTGTTGCCCAGTTCTGCCAGCTCACAGTGAGTGTGTCCAATGTCCTGGAGAATCACAGTCTCAGTTGTTTTCAATCTACCTTATTTATGAGGCACCATGCTTGGTTGTTGGTTTGTGTGTGCATCCTTGGAGGGTGGTTCCAAACCCTATACTTTTCAGGAAATACGGTAATATTACACCCCACAGATATTTTAATTTTGTTGAAGTATAATGGATTTACAATGTTGCATTAATTTTTTTTTTACATCTTTATTGGAGTATAATTGCTTTACAATGGTGTGTTAGTTTCTGCTTTATAACAGAGTGAATCAGTTATACATATACATATGTTCCCATATCTCTTCCCTCTTTGTCTCCCTCCCTCCCACCTTCCCTATCCCACCCTGATTCAGTCATATATACATATATATATATGTTTTATAAATATATATATATTCTTTTTCATATTCTTTTCCATTATGGTTTATCACAGGATATTGAATACAGTTCTGTGTGCTATACAGTAAGACCTTGTTGTTTATCCATCCTATGTATAATAGTTTGCATCTGCTAATTCCAAACTTGCATTCTATCCGTACACCACCGCCCTCCCCCCTTGGCAACCACAAATCTGTTCTCTGTGTCTGTTTCTCTTTCGTAGATATGTTCATTTGTGTCATATTTCAGATTGCACACGTGGGAGATACCATATGGCATTTGTCTTTCTCTTTCTGACTTATTTCACTTAGTATGATAATTTCTACGTCCATCCATGTTGCTGCAAATGGTATTTCATTCTATTTTATGACTAATATTCCTTTGTATAATATATATATGTATATATATATACGTATATATGTATGTATATATATATGTCACATCTTCTTTATCCATTCATCTGTCGATGGACATTTAGGTTGTTTCCATATTTTGGCTATTTTAAATAGTGCTGCTATGAACATAGGGGTGCATGTATCTTTTCAAATTACAATTTTGTCTGGGTATGTGCCCAGGAGTGGGATTGCTTGATCATATGGTAATTCTGTTTTTAGTTTTTTGGGGAAGCTCCATACTGTTTTCCATAGTGGCTGCACCAGTTTACCAACAGTGTAGGATGGTTCCCTTTTATCCACACCCTCTCCAACATTTATTATTTGTAGACTTTTTAACGATGGCCATTCTGACTTCACCCCACAGATTTTTTTTTTTTTTGCGGTACGCGGGCCTCTCACTGTTGTGGTCTCTCTTGTTGCGGAGCACAGGCTCCGGATGCGCAGGCTCAGCGGCCATGGCTCACGGGCCCAGCCGCTCCGCAGCATGTGGGATCCTCCCAGACCGGGGCACGAACCCGCGTCCCCTGCATCGGCAGGCGGACCCTCAACCACTGGGCCACCAGGGAAGCCCCACCCCACAGATTTGACATTCATCTTTATGTTGTATCTTATACTCCTTGTGAGTTGCCTCCAGATAAAAGATAAGATTGGCCTTCAGGAATGCTATACTTTTTACAGTCTTAAGATCCTCTGGATTCAATTCTATCTACTCTCTTGAATAAACAATCCAGTGACGTCTGGGTAGTAGCTCTATTTTTTCTTATCATAGATGATATAGATCATAGAGTGAGGCTTAGAGATGGAGTAAAACTCGAAAATAGGGTGAGGCTCAGTGATAAAGTGAGAGCACCAGCTTGAAATAGGACTTGGCAATTAAACAAACAAGGAGTTCCCTGGCAGTCCAGTGCTTAGGACTCGGCGCTTTCACTGCCGGGGCCTGGGTTCAATCGCTGGTTGGGGAACTAAGATCCTGCAGGCCACATAGTGTGGCCTAAATAGATAAAGAAACAAGCAAACAATAAGATAACTTGTTTATATTTTAAAGCATGTCACAAAGCCCTATATTAAAAAGGTGGCATCAAAATAACATGCAGTGGGCTCCCCTGGTGGCTCAGTGGTTGAGAGTCCGCCTGCCGATGCAGGGGACGCGGGTTCGTGCCCCGGTCCGGGAGGATCCCACATGCCGCGGAGCGGCTGGGCCCGTGAGCCATGGCCGCTGAGCCTGCGCGTCCGGAGCCTGTGCTCCGCAACGGGAGAGGCCACAACAGTGAGAGGCCCGCGTACCGCAAAAAAAAAAAAAAAAAAAACATGCAGTATACAGCACTTTAACTCAAGTGGGGAGAAGGAAGGGGCAGAGAAGAGGAGGGGAAAGAAAAAACAGTAAGGAAGAGGAGTGGTAGTAGTATCTATGAGTCAGGTAATACTATTATCCCATCTACTTTGAAGAAACCAAGGTACAGAGAGGCTAAGTAACTTTCCAAGGTTGCACAACTTATTACTGGTAGAGTCAGAAAAATCACTGATAGCAACTAAATTTCAAAAAAAATGTTATATATACTTTAGAATGTGCTTGTTAATGTAAAGTGAAGTTAACGACTAGAATTCATCAAAGTTTTAAGAAAGTGAGCTGGAAAATTCAGAAGGCAGGCTCTGCACTTTCTGCCAGTCTCATCCTTCCTTGGAATGGCTGATGACTTTAGTGAAGAGGACGCCAATAAAGAGAGACTGAAGAGGGCTCTGGCAATTAGCAGAGAACTTGCTACTTTTGTTTCTGAATCTCCTCCTGCTCTTCTCATTCCTGGCTGTTTCCTGGTTGTCTCTCCAGAACAAGGTGTCTTGCACGATGTTCCCATTGCAAGGTGCCCAGATGCTGCAGATGCTGGAGAAATCCTTGAGGAAGAGCCTTCCTACATCCTTAAAGGTGACAATGGAAAATTCTGAGTGGAGTAGGAATAGAAAGTTCCTGTGATGAAGGGAAAGAGAGACTAATATTTATTGAGAACGTGCCAGGCATAGTGCATATTTTCTCTCATTTAATTTGCATAACCTCTCTACAAGATATTTGCTGTTATGCCCATGTCACTGATGTGAAGATGGCAGCTCAGTGAAGTGCTTTGCCCAATACCCCACAAATAGTGAGCTGCAGTGCTATGGTATAAATGTAGGAATGCCTGAGACCTAGCATTGCTTTTTGCTCCAAGCTGATTCAAAAAGTATTCCCTTGCTCCTTTCCAAGAAACGTTCCATAATAGCACTGGAAACTTGCCCAGAGTTCTCCTACAAAGTTAGCTGAGACTACATGTTAATTTTTAATTTGTTCTCCTTAAAAGAACACTTGCCAGGTGAGAGGTTAACCATCATGAGCCTTCTTTAAAATTAATAATAAGTCAATTTCTATTTCACTTAGATTTTCCAATTGCTCTGAACTTATGGCATATCAAGCTATTTTGTGGCTGACTCTGAGGACCTCTGTTAACCAAGTACAATTGATCAGAAATCTCAGGATTAAATAGAACATATACATAGATGCCCACATCCAGAACTGTTCGAGAGCAACTCTAATGATGGGCTGGGGTCCTCACCTGTGTTTTTCTTTAGCAACCAAAGGGATGGGGTCCATTCCAGTGGAATTTAAGTACAACCGTGTGTGTGTGAATGTGTGTATGTGTGTGTAATGTGTGTGTGTGTGTATTTGGAGAACAAATTGTTTCCCTGAAATTTTTTTGTAAAAAGAGAACTAGATTTCGGGCTTCCCTGGTGGCGCAGTGGTTGGGAGTCCGCCTGCCAATGCAGTGGACACAGGTTCGTGTCCCAGTCCGGGAGGATCCCATATGCAGCAGAGCGGCTGGGCCCGTGAGACATGGCCGCTGAGCCTGCACATCCGGAGCCTGTGCTCCACAAAGGGAGAGGCCACAACAGTGAGAGGCC